TAGATATTGTTACTAATATAAATGGATTCATCCATATTTAGATTTGATATGGTCGTGCTCTACAGAACTACAGAAGGAAAATCAAATGAACAATCGTGCCTTATTTATACAAAATTTCGTTTCTATTATTGTTTTTTGCACTGTGTATTTCCTGTATCTCTTATGTACTGTCACTTTACAAAATCAGGAATGTTATCTTGGAAGTCAGAATCCTTGGCACGAACCTTTGTTATCTCTGGAGTTGTAGTTGCTGCTGATGTATTACTCAAGATATGATTGTACTCGGCAAAGTATTTTTTTTTTAAAATTCAGAAATTCTTTGCCGAGTGCCTAAACAGGGGCACTCGGCAAAGAAATTATTTAAAAAATAAAAAAACTTTGCCGAGTGCCTGGGCAGGGACACTCGGCAAAGTACTTTTAAAAAAAAATAAAAAAAACTTTGCCGAGTGCCAGGGCAGGGGCACTTGGCAAAATACTTTAAAAAAAATAAAAAAAAACTTTGCCGAGTGCCTGGGCAGGGGCACTCGGCAAAGTACTTTTTAAAAAAAATAAAAAAACTTTGCCGAGTGCCTGGGCTAGGGCACTCGGCAAAGTAATTTAAAAAAAATAAAAAAAAATTGCCGAGTGCTGGGTCGGGCACTCGGCAAAATAACCGTTAACAGCCGGCGCCACAACGGCTGAAATATTTTGCCGAGTGCCGCCCCAAACACTCGGCAAATTTTTTTTATTTTGCCGAGTGCCCCGATAAAAAGCACTCGACAAAGACTCTTTGCAGAGAAAAATTTTGCCGAGTGCTACACTCGACAAAGCCTTTGCCGAGTGTAAAAACACTCGGCAAAGCCGCGGCCTCCAGTAGTGATGGCCATGTTTTTGAGCCGATCCAGCAAGTTAAATTCCCTTAAGACCGATATTCTAAAAATTAGTTCCTATAGCATCGAATGTTTGATGCTAATTAAAAATATTAAACATAGACTAATTGCAAAACTAAATGCATAAGTGAAGGCTAATTCGCTAGACAAAATTACATTAAGCCTTTCATAATTCATAATTAGCATATGAATTACATGGACTAATTAGGCTTAATAGATCATCTTACGAATTAGTCTTCATTTATATAATTGATTTTATAACTAGTCTATGTTTAACACTTCTAATTAGCATCAAACATCATATGTGACCCAAACTAAAAGTTACAAGAATCCGAGCAGGGATAGTCACGTACATTAGTAGGCAATGCATATATACCAGCAGGTCGGTGCATATATTGGAGCCTCCGTAAATTTTTAGGTAAAGTTCTATCGTGTAGGTGAGACTAAGACTTAAGATCGAATAGTAGTCGGAGGTATATTGCTGTCGCACTTTTGTTCAGCCCCTGAAATTTTTCCTGGATCCGCCGCTACACCCATGGCCCATGGCTATGATATGGGCACACGCACACCTGCCCTTTTCCCCTTGTTTGGCATCTTGCTTGTCGTCTAGCTATCTATTTTCACAAGTCTGATCCGGTCCTGAGACCGAGCTAGTGTTCGCTGGTGTGCGAACCAACGGACGAGACTTCGATCTCTGGATCGACTCCGTTTCTCACCGGGCAGGTCCCAAAATAATTCCGGTTGCCTCACGTGGACGTGACACAACTGTCATATGTTGCATTCAGAGGCGGAGCTAGGATTTAAAACTTGGGTATTCCCACTTCCACGTCATAAAAAAAATCGAATCCATAGACTTAAAATATAGCCAATAGCACTGCAAATCAGCAACTTTAAATCAATATTTGCTTTCTAGAATCTAGTCTTCTAATTGAAAGGCCAGTTTTTTACCTGTTTTGAGCTGAAATGTGCGAAAATACTATTGATTATAGCATTATACATTTATATATATAAGTATATACACATATCTACGTAAAAGTGTACCAAAATAGTTGGGTATTCCTGGGAATACTGGAGAATACCCCTAAATCCGCCCATGGTTGCATTGTAGAGACCAAATGGGCATGCTACTGCCTACTGCTACCAACTTAATAAATAGGGGCGGCGCTCTGAACTTTCTGCCTGAAACTTTGCGGCCGCAATTCTGAATAGCGGGGCGATATCGCGGTCGCAATTGCATGCAACAGGCTGCAGTAGCGTGGAAACAAATAGCCCTAATCAGCCTAGCCCACTACGACTCACACCCCCAACTCAAACACACTCACGCATCGGCTGTAGCCTCTAGGTCCAGATTTAGGCGTTCTTTGAGTGTAATTAAATGTCTATTTATACTCATTATTCATGATATATGTACTTAAACTTATGTGGGATTATCAGATGCCACTATTGGAACTTATCGTCCGCAATATCGCCCGCTATCCGCAATCCACTACCTCGAAGTCAATCCACGACAAACCCGCTATACGCTATTTATTACCCCGACTGGTACTAGTAGTTATTATTATAGAAGCAACTTGCAGATTGGGCCCACATAACATATATATTATGATATACATGATCAATATTATAATAAATGCAGGATCGATCATTAGAGTAAGTATAATGGTTGGCTGTAAGCAGGCTAAATGGTGATGTGGAGGAGAGAGGAGAAGCAGACCGTAAACTTACAGCCGGCTTAGACACAAGAACCAAGAAACAATACGAGAGAGATAGGTGGGCCATGTATTAATTCTGAAGAGCTAACTACTATATAGGTGGGCTGAGAGGAAGGCTGTAAGGATCTTTACAGCCAGCAGCCGATTGTATTATTAGCCTTGCTCTTATACAGTAACTAGCCACTTAGACATAAATATAAACTACTATAGTTAGTATATCGATGATTGAGATTCTTGAATGAAGTCAACAACCAGCAGACCGTAAATAATTGGTGTTCTTTTGTAACACGCCGGTCCATGGTTTAATAGGATTAATAGGATACTCGTACCAACAAGTTGCAACTTCTTTTCTAGAAGCCCATATCTTAAGAACTCCAAGGTTAAGCGTGCTTGACCTGAAGCGATGGGTGACCGACCGGGAAGTTCTTCCCGGGGGCGCATGAGTGAGGACAAAGTGCGCAGAAAAGACTGGTGTTGGTCTGTGAGGGCAGTCTATGTCCTAGAAAAGCTACCAGATGTAAGCGGGCCTGGCCTCGAGGAGGCGGGATGTTACATCTTTCCTATCGACTGTACTATATTTCACAATTAACTGTGTGTTGGGCGCCACACAATTTGCTAGGCCCCCGCTTTGCACGCCGTTACCACGCCGCCATATAACTGGTCTTCTATTGGGCTTTTCATTTCGCAAGTGACAGGAGTTCTTGACCTGCAGGGATAAGAAGCTCCAAGTATCCGATGAGAGAGAGAGAGAGGGAGGGAGCTTCGCGCAAGAGCGAGGCATCGTGGCGAAGAGCCCAAGGGATGACTGCGAGAGAAGGATACTCGCGGAAGGCCCAAGGGCCCACTGTCCTTGAAGAGGGCAGATGTTGTTTGAGTGTTTGTGTTCTTGCTTGGGTTAGACTGAAATGTCTCCGTCCAAGTGAATATTCTTAGCATCTAGGGCAGTTATGGGGGTATTACGGTCTTTATGCTATAAAACGGTCTATAAATAGCACCTCAGGATGAGGAAAAAGGACACAACTTGATGAGTGAATGAAATGCCCCTTCGCGTTCATCTCCCTCTCCCATTCTCCATTGCTAGTTCGACAACCCACTATTCAAAGACTTGGATCTAGAATGAGGGCTCTCCCATTCTCCATAGCTAGTTCGACGACCCACTATTCTTCAAAGACTTCTATCTAGAACAACACAGTGCGAAGGGTTGTCAATAGTTTGGAACAGTATGTATACATATACAAAAGATGGTTTTCTTTACGAGGGAAATGAAGGATACACATGCATTGTTTAGATGTGCATGGTTTTTCACATATATATTTTTTTGGGAACAGGTTTTTCACATATATTATCACTTGCATTTCCTTTACTATTCGTCCTGTTCCTATACATCTTTTTTTTATACTCCCTCTGTTTGCAGTTTATAGGATGTTTTGACTTTTCTAGATATATAATTTTTACTATACATTTAGACATATTGTATATCTAGGTGCATATCAAAAGCTATTGATCTAGAAAACCCAAAGCAACAAATATTTGTGTTGATTTTTTTGGCAAAATGAATTAAAATTGATTTATTTTTTGAGTTGCGAAATATTGAGTATTTGAGGTTAAACACAGCGTTAATTAATTATATAACTTAGTAGTAGTAACATATGGCTACTGCATGGTTATTATTTCCTCATCTAGGTTGCAGCTACGGAACAGTAGAAGGTGGGCAAGCAGTGATCAGTTGCCGTCCGGGAAAGTGGGAAGCGAAAGGAGCCTAGTGGCATAGTTATTAGAACCGGACAGGACCAGACCGATGGTCGAACCACTAAAAGATCGAATCGGAGCTAAACCAATCTGGTTCACTTAAAACCGGTTGAACCGGCCGGTTTTATAGGGAACCGGTGAACCAGCCGGTTTCATGCGAACCGCCTGGGTCTTATGATGCGCGTGCTAGTTCTGCTGTGCAGCGTAGCTGGTGAAGTGCATGGCCGCATGCAACTGCCACCTGTGGGCCCTCCTGGCTACCGCTCATGTTTGGAAATTGAATGATGCATGCACGGTGCCGCTGCCGCTGCCGCTGCTCCTTTTAAATTTTGAATGTTGACTTTTGGTAGTGCCGGCGTCAGCTGATGTTAACATTTACCTTTTGAATTTCAAAATTTCATAACTTTTTTCAAATGATCTTAAAATTAGACAAATAACATATCTATTTTGATTATCTCAACAAGCTCTTCGCAATGGTACACTCCATTTTAGCAATCGGGTTTGTTTTGCAATGGTGAATATCCGGATTAATATTCTAGTCATTTTGCACCAATTTGTAAGTGCTCCATATATTATGTTTTTTTCATATACATTGCATGCCGGATTAATTGTGTGGAATGCATTGACAAGCCAGAAAACGCATGCCATAAAGCTACATTGCCCATGGGTGATGACGTGTGCTCTTGCACCCAATGGCCAATCTGTCGCCTGTGGTGGTCTTGATAGCGCATGCTCTATTTTCAATCTCAACTCTCAAGCAGATAGAGATGGGAACATGCCAGTATCAAGAATTCTTACTGGACACAAGGGCTATGTTTCGTCATGCCAATATGTCCCAGATCAGGAAACTCGCCTTATTACTAGCTCAGGTGATCAGACATGTGTTCTTTGGGATGTTACTACTGGACAGAGGATATCAATATTTGGAGGTGAATTTCCATCAGGGCATACAGCTGACGTTCAAAGGTAATTGTCTGTTCTTTGTGGACTGCATATTTTAGTGTCATGTGTAATGCTGCTGATTTCTCTCCTCAAAGTTAATTGGTATCTTCTCACTTATACATTTTTAGCTTAGGCTGGTGCACACTAGGTTGCTAGCTTTATCAATATGTCAATGTTTTATGATCAAATTATCACTATTGCTTCTAAAGTTTTGTTTGTGAACTGATTATTATTCATGTTGAGTTTAATAAAGTTTACCTACATAAATGAAAGCTTACTTTTTAGCACTCACTGTAATTTTAGTAATAACAAGTACTCCTTCCATTCCAAAATTTTGGTTGTTTTAGTTTGTCATAAGTCAAACTTCTCTATTTACTAAGTTTATTGAAAAATGCACCAACAATATTCTAGGCTTCACGCACCAGGCAACGCTCGCTGTACATACATACATTATATATATATATATATATATATATATATATATATATATATATATATATATATATATATATATATATATATATATATATATATATATAGCTCCTGGAATCCGCGTTACGAGAGCGCTCTGATTACTGTTTTGCTCCTGTTGACGAATCGTGTGCAGCCACGTGGGCTCGTGCGTGTGTGATCATCGATTCGCTCTCTCTTTGTTAAATTGGGCTAGTTAATCTCCTCTGCGACTGTACTCCAATCAGAGCTGCACAAATTAGTCGATGTCTGTTCCCCACCCCTCCGTCCTCAGCTCTTCGTTCTCTCCGTCTCCGTCCTCAACTTCCCGTGCTCTCCGTCGTCGCCCCTTCCTCTTCCTCCTCGGCGCCTCTCCTTTCTGTCGTGGCCCCCTCCCTCGCTTCCCCCGATCCCATCCCACGCCGCCCTTTCTCAGATCGTCATCGCTCGTGCGTGCTCAGGCGGCAACGACGGATCTGCTCGCCACGCGTGCATCCACATCGGGTCCACCAACGCTGGCGTCGAGTCTACCACCGCCGCCGCTGGATCCACCGTCGCGGTACCATCAGTAGGCAGGTTAAGCCATGTGGTGTCATCCATGCTGCCTCGCTTTTCGTCAAAGCAACACTGATGATGGCGAGATAAAGCTTTCTCCAGCTGAACGACGAGGTGGTCAAGGTGATAGGTATGTGATGGCCCTAATCTCCATCCCCCTCTCTCAATTGTAGTTTTGTTTTAATCTCCACTTTCTCTTTATTTTCTACTCTCAGGTCCCGGTAGTGGAAGTCCCATGCGGCACAAATGGATTACGGCACTCAGCACAACGGCTACGCCGTGATGGCCTCCAGCTACTGGAATTTGTGGCGTTCAAGCCGGTTGAGAAACATCTTGTGCAATGCTGGTTCGTGGCGTTCCCAAGCCTGGAGAGCAGCAGCATGTGCAACCCTAAAGCGGCCAGACTCAATACGTTACTCTGCTTTTTGCATCCTGCGTATTCGATGATATGTCTCTGTTGTGATGCTTCACTTTGTCAATTTGCCTGTACTTGGTTTTTTGTTTGCTTTGTAGTGAAATTAGGATACCATTTTGGTGAAAGTGGTAATGCTTCACTTTGTAGGGATTCAAATAAGCTGAGCTGACTGCATAGTAATGTGTGAACCAATATGCTTGGCTCTTTTTTCTATTACAAAGGCTTCATCGTAAATCTCTTCACCGATGCATCTGTTATTCTCATATCTTTTTTCTTTGCTTCAGAACCATGGGACCTAGAGGACCTTAATTTGTCAGTTTTCTGACGCAGCAAGTATGCAAGATGAATTATTTTTCATGGTAAGTTACTACCTGTGATCATGTGCACTCGGTTCCTGTTGTGTGGTTTCTAGATGACCTAATAAAGTAGTTACCTTGGAAATTTTGATCATTCCCTACAGTTTGCTTTTTTAGCTCAAAAAAACTTAGCTTTCCATAAATCAGTTTAGAACAATTGGTTTGTATGTTGAATTTTTCAGTTGTCCCTTAATTTGTTTCATTCAGAAAATTATGTATGCATGCTAGTGCTAATGGATCAGGATTATACATTTGACTAGATATGTACTTTGCAGATGTTTGGACTTGCAACTCATCCCTCTGTGGTGTGCTACGCAGATAAACTCATCATGGTGTGTGGATCCTATAAACATGATGTGAATTCTGTTTGTTCTCCAATTACCGCCTCAATGGTAGGAATGAACTTTGCCGCCTCCTTATTTCATCTATTCTAGCACATCTTTTTGTAGCTATAAAAAAACAAACTTGCTTTTTTACAGACCAGTTGGTTTGAGTAGACGAAAATGAGAGGTTACTCCAATTGTATCCTTTTTAATGTTAGTTGAGGATATACTCTTAAGGTGAGATTATAATAGTCAAGGCAAGCAGCGTGCCTTTTGTATTGATTAAAAATTATATGTTCACTTATCTGAGCGGATTCCTTTATAATTCTAAGTCTGAATTGTTAGTTGTTTTCCCCTTCTATTCAAAATAGGATCATATTAAAAAAGATGCCTCTATGCCTAGCTCAAATTTTTTTCATGTAGTCAAGTCCTACTTGAAAAAGTCAATCTTAGTAAAGTATATAGTGCCATATTTTGCTGGCATGGTTGGGGTTGTTTAATTTATCCTTTTCATTTATGGAACAATTTCTACTTTTGGAACGCTCAGTAAGTGTAATAAATCAAACTAAGTTTTGTTGGAGTTTCAATTCGTAAGACCTAAAGAGGCTTCCCCTGTTTGTCTCATCTACTCTGGCATCTATCTATGCATAATGCTCTGATAGGTGTTACATTGTTATGTTCCTACTTACTATAATATGATATGATGACACCCGATATGTGCAGGTTCTCAACTTCAGCTAAAGTGTTTGGTTCATCTTGGTACAGAGAAATTGTTCAGTTTGGTGTCATGATATTATGGGAATTAGCAACTAGGAGGTAGAGAACTTACAAAATTTAGTATTTATGATGATCAATCTTTGTTTTATTGGAAAACAATGTGTCGTCCTTGGCCATATCGGTTGCCTATCCTTCTGTACATGGTCATTATGCGATTCTTCATCTTAGTAATTTAGACGCCATATTCAATTTATTTATCTATAGTATATAAATTTGTAGTGGGAGTTCTGTTTACTACATGAGTCACATCAGTAACTGGTTTTATTGCCTTCATTTTTACTACTTATGACTTTAGATTCTGAGTAAAATTCATGTGAAAATTCATGTATAGCAGCCTAAAACCAATAAACGCACATTGCTACAGCGAGAAGCCTAGAACGATGTACCGGTGATGCAGTCGTCGCCCCATAGCAATGCACCACCTATCTACACATATCAATACTTATGGTCTAAATCGATATATTAAACCAACATAATTACCATGGCCGTGTATAGCAGGTGCGCGCGCAGCGAAGCGCGCGTATCGTGCTAGTATATATAGAGATGCATGCATGCATCCAGTCCGGAGGTGTGTTTGTTTTTTTGAAGAAAAAAAATCTTACAGAAACCCACATGTTTGAAAGCGCCTTTCTTAAACCAAATTAACTTCCAAAGTGTGCATGCAACACAATCAGTTAGTACTAGTAGTATAGGATGACGAGCATGTATTATTCAATTAGTGTCTATGAAACCTGCACGCGTGCAGTGCCACCATATATTATTCAATTCAGATTCAATGGTCACGTTTTTTCAGTCGACCCAGCAAGTTTGCCTTCAGACCGACATTAACAGCAGTATTAGGCAGTGCATATCAGCCAGCAGATCCAAGTCGTCTACTTGTTCAGGTCGATTGGCAGGTAGATTTCTGATTATTGGTCACTTTTGATTTGATCATGCATGATATCGCCACCTGCTGCCCTTTTCCCAATCTTAATTTGGCATCTTCCTTGCTCGTCGAGCTATCTATTTTTCCCTAGTCCTTCTTATGGTTGGAACCAACATGCATATACATAACTTTTCCTTCGCTTTTTTGCAGCATTTTGATACCAGATTTAATAATGCATATGAAAGCATGGATGGATCCCAACTCAAACCACGTACTCACTGCACACGCATGATTGATTGTGCATGCATGCATCCATCTGCAGACTGCAGCAACCAGATTCGTGTTGCATGCAATGCAATGCAGATCGATACATAACATACACATTGTTGCTTCCATCACACTTGTTTAATAATCTTTCAACTTGCATTGTAGAGACCAAATGGACATGCTACAGGTACTACTAGCTTTTATAGAGGCAACTTGCAGGTTGGGCCTACATAACATGTATTATGATACATGATCAATAATAAATGCCACTTGGATCATACAGAGACTAGCTCACTGATCGATCCATCTATATCATTATACAGAAAACAACCACTTCGGCATATATATAAATATAAACTACTATAGTTAGCATGCATGGCCACCGGTTGAAGATTCTCGAATGAAGTCAACAACCAACAGGACTGTAAATAATTGGGCCCCTCGATCTCGCTGATTGTACCATATATTTAATTAACAAACTCGACTTGTTGGGCAGCTGCAGTGCAAAGGTTGTTCTATTTTTGGAACATATGTATAGCCATATGATGTGTTGATAATTGTATTGGAACATGCAGCAAAACCAGCTAGCACTACCCCAGATCTGGACATCACTGTCGGTTTAAAAATCCCCTTCATTGTCGGATTTTAAACCGACAGTGGCATTCTGGCAGTGATGGGAGGTTGCCATCACTGCCGGTTTTTAAAACCCGACACTAATCTACAAACAACACTGTCGGTTTCTAGCTTCAACCGGCAGTGTCCAGTTGAACAACACTGCCGGTTTATAGTCCAAACCGACAGTGAAGGTTGCTTCAAAAGTGTCGGTTCTTGGCTCAAGCCAGCAGTGTTGAGCAAGCCTACACTGTCGGTTTATGGATCAAACCGACAGTGTTGTCGTAACCATCACTGTCGGTTTATGGTTCAAGCCGGTAGTGTTGAGCAAGCCAATACTGTCGGTGTGTTTCTAACCGGCAGTGATGTTTACGACAACACTGCCGGTTTGTTTCTAACCGGCAGTGATGGTTACGACAACACTGCCGGTTTGTTGCTAACCGGCAGTGATGGCTCGTTCGCATTTTATTGTTTTATAATTTATTTTAATTTATATTTTTTCGTGGAATCGGGTTTCGCTTTATATACGCTACGTAGACGACAGGTCCATCAATATTAAACGTTACAAATGTTACGGTTACAGTTTAAATGTTCTTATCAAGATCTCGATCCCTCAAAATAAAAAAGAAATTATTCGATAGATGAAGCATGCTTCTCGGACTTTTTACAATAATCTAGCGAGCCGCTCTGGGCCATACTAGTCCTTGAACTTCACGGATTGTGCAATAGAAAATACTCTATCTTTTTCCAATACCTCGGCTAAGATGAATTTTACCAGCTCCGATTGCAGTGCGACGATCTCCATGTCTAACAGCCTTTCGTAGTTATATTTCTTGCGTTGTCGTTCAAAAAAGATGATATCCAAAGAGGAATCAGTAAATCATTTTGTTGAATTATTAACAGACATAAATGAAATGGGGGTTATACACACCAACTTATCTGCTTCTTCCGATTTTCCGTCGATGTAGCGAAGCATTGCCCACATTACATAAACCCGCATTCATTGTTTCCCGCCGGCTGTTTTAGGTACTTTCCCTCCATTTCGACAACCTTGAATGGGACCTGCGTCCCACCGATATGTCTTCTTCGGACACTGTGCAACATTAAAAGGAGAAACATTAGAAAGTGGTATGTGTGACTCGAAAATAATATGTTATTAGGATCGAACTAAGTGATGTGCCGGTGTGCAATCCTACCAACAAGAATCTTTGACACGCCTCACTTGGATCTGGTCTTCCTGCTACTCGAACCCTCTGGCTCCTCGGCCGGCGGAGGCTCCTGTCGGAGACACCAAGTAAGCTATGACCCTCTCAATTAATTAGCGTGTGTGGCTACATAGTCACATGATACCAAAGTTACCTGGCCATCATCTTGGTCATTTTGACTCAGCTCGAGCAGGCCGGACGGGGTCCATGGCTGCTTGTTCTCACCGTCCTAATTGACACTGTCACCGTTTGTCGGATCATGCGGCTCTCCCGTCCCAGCGATATCAGCCGCTTCTTGTTGCCGATCTGTTCTTCGGCGATGGGGTAACAGGCGATGACGAGTCATGGCTGTGACACGATCATCGTTAGTTTTGACTGCGGACAACTACTAATAGCATATGTTCATATTATATATATATACATATATAATATGTTTAATGCAAAGTCTAATAATAAGTCCACATATAACAAAGTCAAATAATAGCATATGTTCACCTAGAACAAATTCATTATTTGATTTACCACATACAACAAAGTCCACCTACAGTTCTACGAAACTAAGGGCTTGTTTAGTTTGCAAAATTTTTGGCGAAATGGCACTGTAGCACTTTCGTTGTTATTTGGCAATTAGTGTCCAATCATAGTCTAATTAGGCTTAAAAGATTCGTCTCGTGAATTTTGTCTAAACTGTGTAATTAGTTTTATTTTTTATTTATATTTAATGCTTCATGCATGCGTCCAAAGATTCGATGTGACGGGGAATCTTGAAAAATTTGGCATTTTGGGAGGGAACTAAACGGTACCTAAACCTACATCAACTTCCAAATAAGAAAAGCAATGACCATAGCCATAAATAAAAGCATGACATCTTTCCAAGGCCAAGGAGCAATTCTTCTAATCTTCACATCTCCGGTGGGTGGCTTCTCTTCAATCGCCAGTGCCAGGGAATGGCCATGGTTTGCATTAATTGGACCATAGTAGGCCGGTTGCCCATGGTTTGCAAGGTAGGCCGGATGACTATAGTAGGCCCTCAAAGCTTCAGCTTTTGTGTTGTATTTTTTGTGCAAATTACCAAGGTTGCAATTGACTTGAGCATAGCAATCTTCCCTGGTTCGATAAATCCCAGGCACATGACCAACATGCACTACATACCATGCCATGGTTGCCTATACATTTAAGTAAATTAGGTTGTCATTCAAATATGATTTTAGCATTGTGATAGGAGGTACTTGCAGCATCTAACAAATTAAATTGTTCTTCATGATTTTAGCATGAAAAAGCTTGTCCAACACCCAGTTGAGATGGTTTGGACATGTCCAACGAAGACCTCCAGAGGCACCGGTGCATAGTGAAATTCTAAGCCATGATAGTAACGTGAAGAGAGACAGAGGAGGACCGAAGTTGACTTGGGTAGAGGCAATAAAAGGAGACTTGAAAGGATGGAATATATCCAAAGACTTAGCCTTAGATAGGAGTGCTTGGAAAATAGCTATTCATGTGCCTGAACCTTGATTGCTTCTGCTAGGTTTCAACTCTAGCCTACCCCAACTTGTTTGGAACATAAAGGCTTTGTTGTTGTTGTTGAAAACACCGGAAAATATGAGTACCAATATTACAAGTCTATAACTTGAACTTTTGTGAGCAATGGAACCTGACCAACCAAGCAAGGCTAATTAGTTTTCTTATAAAATTTAATATATTTATGAATAATACACAACCATTGCATAGATAGGAGTGTTTGGAAAACAGCTATTCATGTGCCTGAACATTGATTGCTTCTACTGGGTTTCAACTCTAGCCTACCCCAACTTGTTTGGGACTTAAAGGCTTTGTTGTTGTTGTTGTTGTTGTTGTTGTACACAACCATTGCATAGACAAACAAAGGATACAAAATACAAATGAGATAACTATATTGGCAATGTTCCTGATATAGGTATGTAGCTTTCCACCATGGTTTCATTACGTTAGTCTATTAATATAGACCAATTTTAAAATTTGTTTTTAACTTTTTTTTTCTAGAACAATCATCTATAGATGCCTTTTTTTAAGCATGCTATACATTCCATCAAAATAAATTGACACTCTACCTATAGC